GCCCCCGCCATTCCCCGAGGGCGTCGAGCCGCTGCTGCGGACATACACCGAGCACCAGCAGGCCGCGGCGTCGCACGCGGTGCAGCTAGAGCGGTCGCTGGCGCCGCTGGCGGCCGAGGCGGCGGCCGGCGTCGCTGGTGTCGCGCAGGTGAGGGGCACAGCAGGCTGCGTTGCTTGGGCCAGGGCGAGGCTGCCCTGCCGCCTGCCTGACCTCGTGCAATCACTGCACAGTGGGGCCTACCAAGGAATGCACTGTCTCAGGAACCCCAAGTGCGTAATACTATGGGCCGCCCGCGTTCGCCCTCCCACAGGCCCTGGCAACCGCAGAAGTCGCCGTGGGCCGCCTGCTCGCCGCCGCGCGCACGTCTGCGCCGCTGGCGCCCGCAGAGCGCGGCGTCGTGGGCGGCCAGGCGCGCGCCCTGCTGGGTGACCTGGCCAGCGTCGCCAGCCGCGTGCGGGGGCTGAGGGACGGACTGGAGGGGGCGCGGGACGCCTGCGGCAGCGGCGGCGCTGGCGGTCTTGTGGGGTGATGCGCGTGCGAGCGTGGGTTTGTTAGTCGAGGTGGCGGCTGTAGATTGCAGGAGGGAAGATTTGGGTGCCAAAACATGCAGCGTGCGTTTTTTGAACGGCTGGCATCAGGGGTTGGCGAGTGTAAAGCTGTCAACGTCATGAGAGGCTGTGCCCACGTTTGACCCACGTGCCAGCGCCTAGCCATTTGCAAGCATGTAAATCTGGGGTGATCAGGTCACTAACCGCCTGCATGCAGGCAATTGTCTGGGCTGTGAAAGGCAATAACAGTGTGCACCCTGCTGAAGCTGGCCCACGGGTCTCCTCAGGCCTCATCGCTCACTCGCATTCTCCCAATGTACCGTATGACTGTTGGTGTGCACAGGATCAGCACACCCTGGTGGTTTCGGGTGCCTTGAAGCACAAGAAAAGCGGCAGGCCGACCCTGATAATCAACGACAGCCGCAAGCCGGTACAGTACTGCACAACTTCATTAAACACAGCTATGAGGAAGGCAGAGGTCAGGGCTGGCCAGCAGTGCAAGAAAAAGAGCACAGCCAAGCGCGGCTTGTTGGCAGGCTACGTGCCATAGACTTGTGAAACACTGTACAAGTGTACATGGTTGACGAACGCAGGTAAGCAGAGCTATTCCGTGGGCATTGTTGACATGCGGCAGCCACAACTTCCAATCGCAGCCTGGTGCCTGACCAACCTTATAAAGTGGGGATCTGCAGCACTTTGTGCTGTGCAGCTGTCCCCACCTCGCTCTTGGTTGCAGATGAGGCGGGGGGTGGGGGGCGCCGCAAACGGCAGCGCAGGAGGCAGGGCCGCCCGTTGTTGAGTGGAGCTCAAATACGGCCCATGACCAGTTGCCTTTCATTCTCCCGTGCACTGAGTTGTCATCAACTGTTCACAACAGGTCGCCTTTCATTGCAGCAAGATCACACCGCTGATCTTCCCAACACAACCGAAGCAGCAGCCATGAGCGGACGCGGCAAGGGGAAGTCCGGCAAGAAGCCTGTCTCCCGCAGCAGCAAAGCAGGTGCGGCTCATCGGTTGCTCGGGTACTCAGAGCAAGTGTTGGCCCCCGGTCGCGTTTGGCCGTGGAGGCCCGTCAAGGCTGCAAATAATGTGTGCAGGTATTTGTCATCAGACGCGCACGGCGTCCAGGGTCAGTCAGTAGCGCAAGCAGTTGGGCGACGCACAACAACGGCACGCGGTCTGCAGCGGCCGTCCTGCCCTGCGCCGGCCAGCAGCCACCCACCCAGCTCGTCACACCCCCTCTGCGCGGCGCATTCGCAACGCTCGCGCCCAAGCATCAGCCCTCGGCCCCCACCCCAACCCCTCCAAACCGCAGGGCTGCAGTTCCCCGTGGGCCGTGTGGCGCGCTACCTGAAGAAGGGCCGGTACGCCACCCGCGTCGGCGCGGGCGCGCCCGTCTACCTGGCCGCGGTGCTGGAGTACCTCTGCGCCGAGGTGCTGGAGCTGTCGGGCAACGCAGCCCGCGACAACAAGAAGAACCGCATCGTGCCCCGCCACATCCAGCTGGCCATCCGCAACGACGAGGAGCTGTCCAAGCTGCTGGGCGGCGTGACCATCGCGTCCGGCGGCGTGCTGCCCAACATCCACAGCGTGCTGCTGCCCAAGGACAAGAAAAAGAAGGTGTGTGTGTGTGGGGGGGGGACATGGATCTGGCTTCAGGGGCACACTCCTTGCACCAGCCTGCATTTCTGGTTTGCTCACTTTCAAAGCACAGGCTACTGCCTCCGGTGTGATGCAGCCACCAGTTCTGGCCTCACCAGTCAAGGGACCCACAAAATGTCGGTTGCGAGCCGTCGTCACTCATGCCCTGATCAATGTGCCCGCCCCCCAAACCCCTGCCGCCCGCCCCATCCAGGGCGGCTCTGTCAGCCAGGAGTTCTAGGCAACGCACCGTTTCATCCATTATTTCCCTCGAAGAGACACGGCGTGGCTGCTTAGAGAGCAAAGAGATGTCATTAGAGCCATATGTACAGTTTTGACCCACCCTGTGACGCCCCTGTTCGGCTCCTGGGCGCTTCGGAGGGTCCCCTTCACCTTACTGCCTTGCTTCGCTGCCCATATGGCGGCACTTGCGAGCCGCTTGCACACCAGCTGTAAACAACCTTTCCAGGACACGTCCCAGTGATGCACCGGAGCTGCAGCCCAGCCTGGAAAAGTGGGACACGTACAATGCAGGGCTGGGGCTAGCCAGATGTTCAAGACATGCTGTGCACACCTTTACAACAGGGTGGCGAGCACCACACAAGTGAAGCAACAAACAACAGTGTCAACACGTGCCGCTTTGACGCACGGGCGCGCAGGCCCCAACCAACCGCTCACGGCATTCAAGAAGCTGGCGCCGCCGCTGGCGAGGTCGGACCACCTGCGCCGACAGCAAGCACAGCCGCAGCTGCGCAACCAGACATCCTGGCAGGGTCGGCCACCACAGGGGCCCGCTCTCTCGGCCAGTCACTGGCGGAGCGGCCTTCAGACATTCAGCGCCGCGCGCCACCCCCCTTGCCCCTGCCCTTGCCCCGAGTCGCCCCCCCAGCGTAAGCACGCACGCGCTCCACGGGCTCCGCGACCGTCTCCGCCATGAGCGCGCGGCGCGGGGTGAAGGGCTCGGGGGCGGCGGCGACGCTGCCGCCGCTGCTGGGGGCGCCCGCGGCGACGCCGGGGGCGAACGCAGCAATCAGGCCGGCCAGGAGGCCCAGGACCCACAGCACGAGCGACTTGAGGCTTGCCATCGCTGTTGGGTGGTTACGCACGCCTTGTGGGTGGCCTGGGTTGCGTAGGGAGG